AATACTGATTAATTAATTAATGTAAATTTTTTTTTGATTTTACTTAAAAAATATTATAAATTTTATTATAAAACTATTATTTGTTTAATAACTAATTTTTTAAAATTAATTTTTTCTTTTGAATTTGAAAGAAAAAATTATTAAAGAAATATATAGTCAAAATTAATAATTTGAATGTAATTTGCTAATAAGAAAAAATGATATCAAATATTACTTTAATTATTTTGCTAATATGAGAATATTTAATATATTTAATATTAGTTAAGATTATATAAAATACAATCACAAGAAATTAAACTATAAGTAATGATAATATATCTGTAATATACTTTACTAATTCAAAAGTTAGTAGTAATTGATGTTACAATACAATCAACTTTTAAAATTTTAAAAAGCTGATTCTTATTCTATTTATATACTTTTCAATTATTAGTTTAACTGATTTATCACAAGAAATATTAAAGTTTTCATCAAGAGAAAGTAATAACTTTCAAAAACTTTTATTTTGAATAATGTTTTATAAAAAATCTGATTCAATCTGAATTTGATCCAGATCTGATAGATCAAATCAAATTGATTTTATCAGATTTAAATCAGATTTGATTTGATTTGGATTTGATTTAATCTATCAGATTTGAATCAGATTTGAATATAGATTCAATCCATCAGATTCAGATTTAGATTCAAATCAGATCTATCAGATTTAAAATATTATTTTTTTTTAATAATATAATTTGTCTTATAAATTAGAAATACAGTCAAACCTTGATATAGCGAACCCTTGATATAGCGAATTTTTAAATCAAATATATTAAAATTACCTTTATTATAGTGAACTAGCCAATTAAATTCTTTAAAAAATTTGTTATAAGCTTATAACGAAGTTGATATCTAGATCCTAGAATTCGTTATATCAAGAGTTCACTGTAGTATGTATTATTATTAAAAAAATAAGTATTTCTTAATTTTTTAATAATATAATCTATTTTAAATCAAAGTAGTATTTATTGTTAAAAACAAAATGTTCTTATTTTTTTAATCATAAAATTCACCCTAAAAGTCAAAATAGCATTTAATATTACATATTTAAAATATGTGTTAGGTTGATGGTATATGTATTATATTACAATTATGATCAAGTGATCTATTCAATTAGAAAATTCACAATTATTGTATTGCATTGATAAATGTATCTCTATATCACATTAGTTTTTTCTTTTTTTCTTACATATTAATATTTGCAGTTGTATACTTTAATTATTATCATAAAAAATGTGTATTTAAAAAAATTTGATTAATGAATATATAATAATTATTAAAAAAATGTTAAAAAATATATAAATTTTATTGTAAAATGTGTAAATTAATATTGTATAAAAGTGTTATAAAAAAAATTATTATTAAAATAAAATATTAAAAAATTCAAATTTATAATACTTAAAAATGACATTACAACTAGATCTGGTCTTATTAATCGCAACCTATAACCCACAACTCTATGTTTTTATATGGGCTGCAACTGCAACTATTTTTAAAAACAGGTTAAGAAGCTATCTTTAATAATACTTATATTATAATATTATTATAAAATATAATTCTATTATAAAATAAATCTATCATCATAAAATAATTAAAAATGGCTTAAAATTAGTATAAATACTTTATAAAAATATTAAAGAATGTATGCTATTATAATAAAAATTATAAATGATACCTTGCTTTAATTTAACTGATTTTTTAATATGTTTTTGCTCAGATTATATTTATTTTTACTGACTTTCCTTGTTTTTTGATTAGGATTTTTTGTGAATCCAAAAGTTTCTTATCTTTAATATTACTAGGTAGATTTTATTTATGCTTTCTGATCCTTCTATTTTACATCATCTGACAGATTCAACTTGTATACAAATTATAGAACCACTTTTTAAATTAACCATTAGATTTAAATCACAATTTAGATTATAAAAAAGAAAGTTATTAATAGATAGATTTTAGTTTAGCTGCTTTATAATGCTTTGTAAATTTATTTATGCAATTGTGTATTACTATCTTAGTAATCTATTCTAACTTCTTCTAAAAAATTGACAAATTAGAAATATCAATAATTTTGATATTTTTACTTGATTCTTTATAAGATAGAGTATTATATTTAATAATTTATTATTATTGGATGTTTTTACTTTCATTTGTAAATATTGTAAAGTGAATTTTGCATGTAATAATATATAAAAGGAACTACAATTTGCAACATAACCTAAAGGAAAAAAATTTGAATAAAATGAATAATTTTATGAAATTAAACAGACCAAAATGGTTAATTATCAAGGGTAATGTAAGCATAAACTATACAATCATTAGATGTCAAAAACAGAAGAAAATTAAATGTGAATATATGGAATTTGACTGAAACTGTACCCTGGTGTTTGCAGGTACGCCAGTCATACCATTCAGACAAATACAAATTTCAATTTCACTGTTAATAATATAGAAATTAGAATTTTGTGCATTTAGTACAAAAAAATCATTTTTTACACTACTCTTTTGAATTATATTAATGTTTATAGTGTTCCATTCAGAACATAAAAAACTTTTATGACCTTGATGTCTATGCGCAAAGCTAAGCAATCTAAGTATGTAAAACCTCTTCATGTTTTGTTGTAATAAACTGAAAAACTTGAATGCAATTGTACGCTTGTGTTCTTGCAAATACTAAATCTTTTAGTATATCAAAACTTCTTTCGTCATAATTATTTGTGTTATTTCTGCGCATATAGAGTTCAGAGCAGAAAGGGAGTCCTAACATAACAGCATTTTCATAAAATCTCAAATGCTTGCGTAGTTGAAGATAATGGCTATAAAACATTTGTTTGAATTCATAGTAATGCGCATGCATTTCTGAGCCTGGTGTTGTATAAAGGATTTCTTTCATTTCTTCATAATAGGCCCCTGATCTTCTTTATTAATATGGCATTGAATTATAAAGCCATCTTCAAAATGCCTGGAGAACGTGAAATATACAAAGGAGACATAATTTTCAATAGTAAATCAGTAAATCATTTCAAATTTAAAAAAGAAATTAGATTCAAATTGAAATATAATCCTTACTCTCTAGTTAACATAATTCAAGAGCATTGCGTTCAGCACTCAAATCGTCAGTAATAAAAACCTTTGGATCGACACGCCCAAAAAAGCATGTAGTAGAAGAATCGTCTTAAGTAGATTTAATGCATTTTCTAGCGTGACTTTAGACTCATCCAAAGTGATAAATAAATTGAGCGGGAGGGCTCCAACTGTGCAGCTCATATAGTCATACCTCTTTATAATCACATAGTCAGGCACATAGTGACTTTTAAAGCAAAATGTGCTTATAAAGAGGTATTACTATGATCGTTATTAACGGAAGGGATTTTTTTATGATTTTAATCTATCAAAATTTCAAATATGTGACTATACATATGATGTGTTTATAAAGGGGGTGACTATATAGAGGTACGACTGTATAAAAAAGAGTGATTGATGTATTTAGAGGTTCAAATGATGCTGAAGCGTCCATATAATACAGATTGTAAAAAAACCTTTCGTGAACTTAACTCATCAAATTAGTTACTACGCACAGAATAAATGCCTTTCCTGGTGAATTATATTCTTGTAATACCGCCTTTCTATGACATGAGTTATAATCGTTTACAACTTTTACTAGACGTTTAAACATTGAAGTACCGTTGCGACCACCAAGTGCCATTTCACGATATTTATGAAAAAGCTTAGCAATGCCCAGTCTGCAAGTAATACTAAAAGTTCCTGCTCATCCGTAGTGCTAAGAATAAAGTGCATCTTCGTAAATATACATTGCTGATGCGGAAGAGTGACCATTTTTGAAAAATTCCAAAATTTTTTCGTGATCTTCTCCATTGACATGTCAAAAGCTTAACGATTCTGCAGAATTGACAACGTGATTATGAGTATGGCTCAATTCAATATTACAATTCTTTAACTGAAGGTGAATAGTAGCGGTGCAATTTGTATTTCGTAACTGAGACAATTGTAGGCGTTTTAATTTTCTCATTGCTCTAACACAAAAAATAAAATAATCTCATTAAAATTGCTATAAATCAATAAAAAACACGGTACTACTTGGGCAGAAGCGAAGAGTCAGTTATCAATGCGATTATTTAATGTAGCATTTGAGGGCTCGATGATCTAATGAAAGAATGGGTACCCAGTTTATAGAATATTATCATAGCATAGGCTCATGTGAGATCGATCACCTGAAATGCGCAGAACGATATCGGGAGGAAACTCTTGTCGGCCCGGTTAAAATTATTGTACATAGATTAGAGATTTTTTTCTAAAAAACAATCGAGGAGTGTAAAATTGTATATTAATACACCTTTTCTTCCTATTTAACGCGTAAGTATGTATGCTCATACCCAGGGTTGGGAATTTTGTATGTACTAGATAAAATTACCATTGTACTTGTACTGTACTTGTACTAATTTTTATATTAATTATTATAATGTACTAACTGTACTAATCATTGTACTAACACTGTATTTCCCATCCAATAAATTTTTACACGTTTTTCAAACATGAAATTCATATATAGTATATACATATTTATTCTAATTTAAACTGTAAGAACGATAAATCCAACGACTTTTTTATCGTTATTTAAATTTTAATTCAAATTTTCGAATTATGAATTAACTTTCGTAAAATCATTTATAAAGATTTTCAATTTAAACTGATGGATCGCCATTCCGTGGAATAACCGGAATCTTTAAGGGTTAAGGATCTGCTGCCATGACAAAGCGATTACCTTTAAGTGATGAAATGTGTAATCATGAGCTTTTAGCTTTTTTTTTGTGCTGTGCATTTGATCTTTTAAATGATATCATGTTGAGATCCTCCTGTGATCTAATCACAAATTTCATCGTTTTGATGTTTTTTAAGGTTATATTGCACAAGAGAAACTTTTGTACATTTAATTCAACACTATAATGCTCGAGTCTCTTGTTGCTACCGTGTTGAATCGTTTTCTTGGAGCTTATGTCTCTAACCTCGAAGTTAACCAACTTAACGTTGCCATATGGACAGGCACGTCTACTAGCCTTGCATTGAATTAAATGGGGATTTTTTTTAAAAAAAAATTTATAAACTGAACCATTTATTTTATTAAATATCGTTTTTTTTAAAAGGTGACGTTGTATTAAGAGATTTACAACTAAAGAAAGAAGCTCTCGACAAGTTTAATTTGCCCATTGATGTTTTAGAAGGTGCGAATTCCGAATAAAAAATTAAAAATTCTATTTAATAAAATTTTTTCCAATGTAAAAAAAAATTTGCTCGACATATTTAGGATACCTTGGGGAATTAACGTTAAATATTCCTTGGTCAAATTTAAAGAATAAACCCGTTAAAGTTTTCATAAATAATGTTTATCTCCTTGCAGTTCCAAAAGCCGAGTCGGAGGTTTAGATCAAATCTTTGTCAAAAAATATATATTATGATTTGATTTATTTATTAATAAAATCATTGTAAAAATTTATTAGTACGATCCTGAGGAAGATGAGCGTCGAGCTCAACAACTTAAACAAGAAAAATTAGCAAATGCCGAATTGTTGCATACACAACCTGAAGCGTCAGGTGGTTAAATCAATGCATTATTTTAACGTTTTTATTATAAGAATGATTAATTAACTTTTCTTCCTCTTTTTTTTCATATATTATGAAGAGGATGATCAAAAGAACCAATCTTTTGTAAATCAACTCGTCACGAAGATTGTTGATAATCTTCAGATTTCAATCAATAACATTCACATTCGTTATGAAGATAAGCTTAGTGACCCAGGGGTGCGTTTTCATATAATTTTTTTTTTCATGTTGATTGGTTCTAATTTATTGTGTAATTCTTTCAGCATCCGTTTGCTGTGGGATTGACTCTATCCGAATTCTCGGCAGTTTCAACTGACAGTAATTGGAAACCTACATTTATTGAGGGAGAAACCAGTTCTATTCATAAGGTAAAAAAAATATGAGTGAATGAGATATGTCGTTTGTTATTGTCATAGGAATTTTATAAATTTATCTAAAATGGTTCATGTGCTTCTTAAAGTTAATTACTTTAGGATGTTTAGCTGTTTATTGGAACACAGATTCGAGATCTTTAGCTGGCTACTCAACAAAGAAAGCCGTCGATTTATTTAATAGCTTGGTAATATTCTAATTCATTGTAGCTTTAAATTACCTAATGAAAAATTTTAACATGAATAACTTTTGTAATTTAAAAGATTGCGTCCGAGAAAAATATACCATCAGAACATCAATACGTACTTAAACCCGTTTCTGGTTCCGGACGCGTAAGTTTTTCAAGAAAGAAATAAAAGTTCATGTTCGTATTTGCTTCTTACTTATTCACGTTTTTTTGTTCTCTTAGCTTGTACTTAATAAACATTTTGACGTAAACGATCCCAAAACTACCGCAACATTATTGTTTGATGAACTTGGGTTCGTCTTTGATGATGAGCAATATAGGGATGCTCTATTGATGGTTGACCTATTTCATTTTTACCTGCGACAACAACAAGTAAGATAAATATTCTTGTTTAATTCATTTATTTTCAGAGAAATATGCAATTTATAAAATAATATTTAATTTTATGTTGATAGTATCGAAAATTCCGACCTCTACAAGTAACTCCTAAACAAGATCCCAAAGCGTGGCTGCTTTTTGCAGGAAATTGTATTATCTCAGAAATTCGTGAGCGCAATAGGAAATTTACATGGGATTACTTTGAAAAACGACGTGACGATCGACATTCATACGTACAACTCTATAAAGATAAACAACTTGATAAAATGACACCAGATGTTTGTATACACACATTAGAATGTATTAAATTATTTGTTATTCAAATTTTTTTTTTATCCGACTGACATTACGCGTATTTTTAGAATCAAACCAAATTAGATAATCTTGAAAGGAAACTCAGTTATGAGGATATTCGATTTTATAGATCAATAGCAAAATCACAATTAAGAAAAGAAAAGGCATTAATTGGTATGTAATATAACTATTGAAGGTTGTTTAAGATGATTAGGAGATATCTCTAAAGGTTTCAACTTGTTTTAAATTAAATTTATTATAGATAAAAAACAAAAGGAACGATCATTACAGCAATCATCAAAATCCGGTGGTGGTTGGATAAGCGGATGGTGGTGGGGTGGGTCAGAATCGAATGTAAAAGACAAAATTATTTATTTAATTCATTTTATTCAGTAACAACCATTATTGTATAATTTATTTGGAATTTTTTTTTCTTTTAGGAGAATGAGGGAGACACAATATTGACCGAAGAACAACGACAAGAATTATTTCAAGCAATTGATTATGATGAAACAGCTGCAATACAAACTAATGTGGACCTACCTAAAGAGGTTGTATGATACACTTGAGCTATTTTTAAAATAATTTTCATCCAAAAACTTTCGTTTATTAAAAAATTTTATTTTTTTATTAGTGGACAATACTTTCACTAAGAACTAAACTTAAAACGGGATCTTTTGCTCTAAAAAAAGATCCTCACGGAAAAAATGTTGATATACTAAGGGTTATGTTTGACACGGTGACAGCAAATTTTCTTCAACGCCCTGAATCATTTCAAGCTGAAACTTCTTTGGGTAGTTTAAGTGTATATGATGGTTCTACCGAAGGAACATTATATCCTCAAATAGTTAGGGTTAAAGATTATGATTCTAAAGCCTCTCCAAAAGATTTGACAAGAAATAATCGCGCAAGTGATATTGAATATGATGAATCACAAGGAAATCCATTTTTTCAATTAGTTTTTGAACAAAATCCTTTGGATGGTAGAGCAGATAATGGTCTTTCAATGAGAATGAGACATTTAGAGATTATTTATAATCGAAATGCCGTTGAAGCAGTTATTGACTTTTTCAGACCTCCCGAACAACAATTGGAATCTATTTCAGCTTTAATAGTAAGTTTTTGCTGGAACTTTTTAAATTCAAATGATTATGATTATAACAGAGAGCAAAAAAAAATTCTCTTATATTCGTTTTGTGTAGGAAGCAGCAGGAGATACTTTAGAAGGAATCAAAGCTCAGACTAAAGATGTATTAGAATTCGCATTAGAGGAGCACAAGACTATAGATGTAAAGATTGATATGAACGCGCCAATTTTTATTGTCCCTGAAAGTTGTACAAAATCAGATGCTCAAGTAGTTGTATTAGATTCCGGTCACATTAGCGTAGAGAGCAATTTGGTTAATAAAGAGCTCTTCTCACAGATCCAATCAAAAGCAAAAGCAAGTAAAGGTTATAGTGAAAAGGATTATAAAGAGTTGGAGTCTTTGATGTATGATCGTTTCACAGTACAACTCTCTTCAACTCAGGTAATTGTTCTTTTATATGAACTTGTTAAGAAGTCAAAGTTTAATATCGACTTTTTTTTAAAATTTAACGCAGATTACTTTTTTGTTATTAGCTTTTAGTAGGACAATCTGTTGACCGTTGTTTAGATCAGATACGAAATACTGATTCCAATTACGACCTTCATGTCATTGATCGTATCAATATGCAATTTAATGTTGAAATGTCCATATTACCCCGTGCAACTTATCTGACTAAATTTCGAGTTACAGGACACGTACCTTTACTTAAAGCCAATTTCTCAGATAGAAAATATAAGATCATTATGAATATAATTGAAAAAATTACGCCAGCGAGTACGAAAGAAAATACAGAATCTGTTCAATATCCTGTATCTGAAATATTCTCGTTTACTGGATTAGTCGAGGAGGCTTTGAAGGATAAAACTAAAGATAATAAATCAGATAACAAACCTTTATTAAATAAAAATTTGGCAAATAAAGCTTTAGCATGGAATCGTAAGCACAGAGACTCTGTGGTAATGGCGGAAAAATTTGGTTTAGGAAAAACGTTTCAAGATTATGTAATAGATAGCGCTAGTGATGAAGATGATGATGAGATTCCTGAAGAACATCCAGAAGAATTCTTTGACGCACAAGATGCAGGCGTATGTATTAGTTATATTTATTTTGCGTTTTTATGCTTGATTACTAATTAATTATATTATTTTAAGGACCCTAATAATGCAAGTGTCAATCAGAGAACATTTGAATTTGATTTTCGTGTGGATAAATTTACAGCAACTTTAAAAAAGGCAGATCCAGACTCAAATAAACCGGAAGTTGTTTTGGTTGATATGGTTCTGGAACATTTTGGGTTGAGTTATGTTCTTCGACCATTCGATATGTCTGCTGTAGTTGTACTTAAATCTCTTAGTATAGAAGATAAAATTTCTAATTATTCAGAATTTAAACATTTGGCTGCTTCTGAGGGATATGGAAATGCTCAACATGAAGATTCTAAAGATCTTGTTCACATAAAATATTCCAAAGTTGATCGAAAATCACCCGAATATATGTCAAAATTTGATGGAATTGACCAGAGCGTCGACATTGAATTGTCTACTATCAATGTCATTGTTACTCGCAAAAGTATTTTGACATTATATAGTTTCATATTGGACACTTTTACTTCGTCTCCTACACAACCCCCCGCATCTCCACCACAGATTGTTGATGCGCAACCTGGTTCAGAATCAGAAGAAACTCTCAAACCTCAACCACTACCATCACCACCACCGACACAATCTTCAACTATGAGAGTTAAAGTCAGATTAAATAGTATCAGGTTTATATTAAATAATGATGGTGTTAGACTTGCGACAGGATTATTGTCGCTTGCAGATGTTGCTGTACTATTAAGACAAAACACTATTCGCGTTGGGGCTCGATTAGGCAACTTTTCACTTTCTGATGATTTGGCTGGGGAAAGTAGACCCGAATCATTGAGTCAATTGCTTACTATTCAAGGGGAGGATTTAGCCGTTTTTCAATATGAGACATTTGATGAAAAATCGCCAGGTTTCCCTGGTTATGACTCATCGGTTTATTTACGAGCAGGTTCTGCCAAATTGACTTTCCTTGAAGAACCTACTAGGCTTCTTCTTGAGTTTGGTAGTAAATTTGCTCAAATGAAAGGTCTTTATGATTCAGCTAGAAACGCTGCTGTTCAACAAGCGGCACAGTTGCAAGAGAGAGTATCGAAATTCCATTTCGATATTGTGGTTCAAACTCCGATCGTTGTTTTTACCAAGGATGTTAAATCAAGCGATTGCGTAATCGCAAATCTTGGTGAATTATCTGCATCAAATGAGTTCATACCTAATGAAAAAGGAAAAGGAGAACTTACCCGAATTAAGGCTGAACTTAAAAAGATTAAATTAACTTCGGAATTTGCTTTTTCTGATAAAAAGAAACAAGTTTTGCAAATTATTGATGATGTTGATATCAATTTTAGAATTTCTTACTCGGAACATGTTGAGGGTTCAGATAGACCAGATATGGAGGTAAGGAATCAAAAAGATTTTTTTGTTATTTAACATTATTGAATAATTTTGTATAGACAACTTATTAATTTTAATTATTAAAAAAATAGATCGATGGTAGAATGTCGGATGTTAAGATGTCTTTAACAGAAAAACAGTATAAATATTTGTTTGACCTATCAAATACTATTCCTCGAGCCTTTGGTACTGGCGAATCTACAGATAAGAATACTTCTGGTTCTCCAACAAGTCCATCTCAACACTCTAAGAAATCAGGTGCAATAGAAACAAGTTCATCACAAAAGGACGACGCAGAAGTTCTGCCATGGACTACCATCGATTTTAAATTCATTGTGAATCAAATATATTTAGAAATTTTTTCTGGAGACGGTTTTCAAGCGAAGAAATTATCAGATACAAGTTTATCAAAATTCTGTTTGAATGAAACTAAAATCAAATATTCAATGGAGTCAAATGGTTCTATGAATGCAGAACTTAGCCTTCAGTCTGCTACTCTAAATGATACCAGACCAAATGTTCAAAATGCCTATAGAGAAATATTACCTGCTGGTAACCAAGATGCCCCTCAATTTAGTGTTAGTGTCACAATTTCCGGTGGTGTTGAAAGAAACATAATCGCTATCGTTACAGTTGATAGTCCACGGATAATACTTACTCTTGATCATTTGTTTGCTACACGCAATTATTTTATGAGTGCATTTGTTACTGATACCGAATCTTCAAATCAACAATCTCAACAAGCGGAATCACCATCATCTTCAAATCCTCCAAGAACACCTCCGAGATCTTTCACTAGTCAATCATCTACTCCATCTAAACCACCACGTCCGACCGCCACACAACCTAAAGTCACTACTAGTTTAAATTATCGTTTGAACGTTTCTTACGCAGAAATTATCTTATTAGCGAACCCTCATCTTGAAAGTACTGAAGCAATTGTTCTTTCTTCCAATAGAATAGTCATCGTACAGCAACAAGTTATGACACTCACTGTTGAGAAACTTGGCATGTTTTTATGTAGAATGGATAAGAGAGAAGATTCTCCTTTACGTTTCATTGATAACTTTAATATTGCTATGACTCTTGATACTCGAGCATCTAGACCAGGTCAACAACTTACCGACATCAATATTGAAGTTGGACCCCTCACGTTGAGACTTTCATATAGGGATGTGTTACTAATCATGTCAATAGTAAATAAGGTTTCTGAGCTCTCATCACAATCTTCATCTCCACCACCTGAAAAAGAAAATAAGCCAGGACCAGCATCTATTGATAACAACATACCACTAGATGTTGCATCATCTAAAAATTTTAACTATGATTCTTTAACTGCAGCTAAAAAAGGTGGAAATTCGAAGAGTCGCCCTAGCGTTTTACAGACTTTGATGATGACTCGAGAAACTGTAAGTATTTATTGTTGGAGTCCAATTTAATTTATATCACTGTTAAACATTCATATAAAATCATGTGACTTATAATTTTATTCCAGCTTAAAGCAACTTTTCAAGGTACTCGGTTAGTTGTTATCGGTGATGAACATGACATACCTATGATTGACGCTAGTGCGAATGAGTTTTCTGTAAATGTAGCTGACTGGTCATCTCAGGTTCGCTATATATATATATATTTTTTTTAGTTTGTCATTCCCCCCCCCCCCCCCCCCAATTTTTGGGAATATAATTATTAATTTTTTACTATTACCAGATAAGCGTCGACGCCAATGTTTCAACTTATATAAATTATTTTAATTTGACTAATTCTCACTGGGAGCCACTAGTAGAGCCATGGTCTTACAGTCTACACGTGCGTTATATGCCAATCTATTTTGTGTTGACTACATTTATCTTACTAATTATAATATAATTTGTGTGTTTAGGCATCTAAAAATTTAAATCCAGAAAGCATGGTGATTGATTTATCTTCTCAGAAACGTTTAGAGATAAACATTACACATATTTTCTTGGAAACGATGTTGACAACACTCTCTATAGTTAACCACGAAAGCGAGGTAAAGTCTATTTCTTTATTGATTTTAAGTATTTAAATCTCTATATTTATCTTTTTTATATTATCGGTTATAGCATGTATTGAATACCAAAAGAGGTTCCCGAACTCCATATAAATTAAGAAATAGAACTGGGTACAATCTACACGTATGGTCTATTTCTTCGGATGATGCTACAGATACAGAGATTGTGAAAATGGATGATATTCAAGATTTGGATTGGAGATTTGATGACTGGGTTAAAACGCGTGAGGTAATTTTTATTTTATTATTAACTAATTATGATGATTCGAAAATAATATTCTTACATTTTAAATCCAAATAATATCGTAATTTGTAGTCTGTGAGCATTTCAAAAAACATGTTGGGCATCCAATTTGATAATGCAACATGGGAGTGCATTAAGGAGATCCCTGTTGATAGGGAAGCAGAGAACTTGTATATATTACGACCTAAAGTTGGTGGGGTCACTCACCGTATGGTGGTTGATGTGAAATTAAAAGACAACATAAAAGTAGTAACTTTTCGATCGGTCTTAGTTCTTGAAAATCGAACGCTTTTAACAATTGAGATGAAAATTGTTGACAAACAGAACAAGAATGTTAGCGACGTTTATCAAATAGGTAAATTATACAAGTTTTGCACTTTTTTCATAATTTATAATTATGATTACTGACTTATTGATTTTCAATAATTGTTATGGCGTTTAGCTCCTGGTGAAGATTGTCCTGTTCCTATAGAACATGCGTATAATAATCTTCTTCAGATCAGACCTGAGGGTAATTATATTTCAAAAACATATTTAATCAATCTTTATAAATTGTATTAGAAAAAATTATAATATTATATTGTTCATACATCAGGCGGGTTTGGATACAATTGGAGTGTCGAAAATTTATATTGGCAAAATTTCATAAAACCTAATCCTATAAAGTCTATCACATGTCAATCTATACAAGATGATGCACCATTCCGTTTCCAAGTATTTGCTAGGTACAAAAAGAATGATCCTCTTGTAAAGTAAGTGTAACGTATTCAAATAAAATACGCCTCTTTTTTTTTTAAAAAAAAAAGAGATCTAAATTAATTTATCTAATAGGGAGTACCCTTGTATGGCTATTCGGTTAAGCGCACCGATACAAGTTGAAAATCTGTTACCTTACGACTTTAAGTTCAGAATTTACGACAAGACTATAGATCAGGATTGGCCCGATAATTTTTTACATAAAGGAGGAGTAACTTCTCTACACTTGATAGAATTAAATCATATATTATTACTTAGTATTACCGTAGAAGATACAGGTGCTATATATTATTATATATTTGCCTTCATTTGATTCAATTGTTATACATGTCACTTATACTGCTTATGCATTCCTTACAAGATTATGCTACCAGCGAATTTTCTATCATTAGCTCTCCAAGTTCCGATTATTCAGTTGATAATACACTGACACTTACAGATTCCGAAGGTTTAAAATTATACCTCCGAATTCATTACACGTTAGTAATTCTTAATCGAATAATCATCGCTATGATTTAATGAAAATTCTAACATGCAGATATCTTAACAGGGAAGTTCCCGATTCTGGAGGAGCATTTAAGTTTAGTGTATATAGCCCATATATCATGATAAACAAAACAGGTCTTGATATGGTTTTCAAATCGAAATCATTCTTAACTTCCGCCAAGATTGCTGCCGGTCAAGGTTGGTTATCCACAGATTTTAAGAAATAATAAAATTATATCCTCATTCACACGGATTAAAAATTTTTTTTTATCTTTGCATAGTGACATCAAAGAAGAAAAACCAGGTATGAGGCTTTAGTTAATTTCCCCTTTAAATGAGCTTATTAATCCTTGTCATTATTCGTTTAGGTCGCTCCATATATGTTCTCTTATCCAAATGATGAAACGCGAAATCGTGCTCTATTAAAAGTAGGAGATTCAGAATGGAGTAGGGTAATTATTTATAATATATCGTGATCATTTTTCCTCTAGGATTCTTATAATTAATTTGACTTTTTTGCAGCCTTTGAGTTTTGAGGCTGTTGGTACATTTATGGAGATTGTTATACCCTCTTCAACAAAAACCGAAGAAATACATTTGGGTGGCAGCATTCAAGAAGGTCACCAGAAGGTAAGAAATGTTTTAAATTTACGAAGATATATTATTTATTTATTTATGCAAAAGTTAACCTTTATTTATTCAACTTATTATTTTGTAGTATAAACTAACTAAAATTGTGACTTTCACTCCACGGTTTATTCTCAAAAACAATTTGAATGAGGATATTAATTTCCGAGAACCGGAATCGACTGATTTTATGACTGTTAAATCCAAAGATCGTGCTGCCCTTCATTTCTTAAAAAAGGGAATCGGTAAACAGCTTATGTTATGTTATCCTGGATTAAATAAATCTTGGTATTTATACTTTTTAAATTAGAATGCGCTTTTATCGAATCCTATTCACAGCTGATTTAATAATTTAATAGGTCCGCTCCTTTTAATATTGATGAGCTTGGGAGAGTTCATGTCAGACTTGGAAAATCAGACGAGGAGATTGACTTGGTTCGAACTGAAATTTTACTTGAGGATGCTACAGTTTTTGTAATATTTAATAAAGAGGAAGGAAAATGGCCATTCCGTATTGAAAATTATTCAGATGTTGAAGTTACCTTTTACCAGCAGGTCTGTTTATTCTCCATTTTATAATGAATTTTTGCTATCCTATTTAAACTTTGCCTACATTCATATAGGACCCGAACCGTCGTGACTTCTTTGGTACAAGTACACATAGCCCAAATATAAAAAAATATAACCTTCATCCTGGAAACGCATCACCTTATTCGTGGGATTTCCCAGCACAAAAAGAAAAACGTTTGGTCTTAAACTTAAATAATACTGAGCGAATGGTTAATATTCAAGAAATCGGATCACTTATACCATTTAAATATCCGGTAACTTAAATATCACAATTTTAAAAATCGTATATATTTTCCCATTTACTTAATAAAGTCATGATATTTAGGTTGAAGGAGGACATAATATATTGGCTATGGAGGTTGCTGCTGATGGCCCGACTCAAGTTTTGTTACTTACTAATTACAATCAGTCAGAGAGTATCTTTAGACCAAGGGCCCCATCAATTTCATCAGTATCTAAAGATGATACCAGTAAAGATGCTTTTGAAGTGGTTCGTGTCGCTTAATTATTTGAATTTTTTAACTTCCTCTTTTCAATTTACTAACTTTGATCGACCTTAATTTAAGATTGATGTGGATTCAGTTACTACATTAACTTTTCAGATTAGATTAGAAGGTATTGGCATTTCTGTGATTAACAAACGAATGCAGGTATGTAGTGTTAAATACCTTAAAATTACAATATTTATAGATTTCTAATATTCCTTTCTTTAAGGAATTGGCTTATGCTTCAATGCGCGGATTGGAGTTCAAATACAATGATTCTACACTATATCAATCCGTCAATTTTCTAATTAAATGGTTACAGGTAAAAATGAGTTTTAGGTTATAACAATAATAATAAAATGATACTGATCAATTTTCTCTCCAATAGATTGATAATCAATTATATGGTGGATTGTATCCAATTATTTTATATCCAACGGTTATTCCAAAAGATACAAAAGAAACCGATGTTCATCCGGCCTTTCATGCTTCACTTATTAAGGCAAAAGATGAATGTAATTTTCTAACACATTCCTTTTGTTTTTTATTTATTTTGATCAGTACTCTAACAATACATTCGTACTTATTAGCACACGGTGTTATATACTTTAAATACTTTTCTTTATTGTTGCAAGAAATGACATTTGAAATCGATGAAGATTTTCTTTTTGCATTACTTGAATTTGCAAAACTTGAAGGTCCAGGCAACAATGAAGAAAAAGAAATGTAAGTAGGATAAGTATATTATTATTAATTAATTTCTCTAAATATCATCAATAATAATAATATTATTATTATTACAGACAACTTATTGATGGAACGCTTGATATTCCTGAGCCAAAATCAGCTGAAGGAGATAACCAGTGGTACTTTGAGGTTTTGCATATACATCCAATGAAAATTAATATTTCATTTGTCAGGACAGAACGTATAAATGTTGAAAATAAGTATGTATCATTTTTTTAGAGTGTTAAGTTCAATCTTTACCATTGAGCACGTTTATTAAATACAAACTCTTATAAAGACCAGCACCACGTAATCCAATCATGTTCTTTTTCAATGTTTTGACGATGGCAATCGGAAACATCAATGTATGTTGTCATTGAAAAAAAAAATCTCTCCACATTACTTTATTAACCACCTTTTATTAAATAGGATGCACCAATCAAACTTAATGCTCTTGCCATGGAAAATATGCGCGTTAGTCTTCCTGTATTAATCGATCGTATCAGACAACATTATGGTGAAGCTTTCATCTACCAAGTATATATAAAAACCACTTTAAGTATTATACCTCTTTTTATCCAATAAGATAATTAATTTATAATGATTAAATAGGTACATAAAATTGTTGGTTCCGCTGACTTTTTGGGTAATCCTGTTGGTTTATTCAATAACCTTAGTTCTGGAGTTGTTGATATTTTCTACGAGCCATACCAAGGATTCGTAATGAGCGATCGACCCCAAGATCTTGGAATTGGACTCGCTAGAGTAATTATTATATTTTATTTTGTCTAAAATATTAAAAATAATCCATATTGTAATAACCCTTTCTTTTTTTTTTAAAAAAAAAAGGGCGCAACAAGTTTCTTCAAGAAAACTGTGTATGGGTTTAGCGATAGTTTTTCTAAGGTCACAGGAAGTATAGGAAAAGGTTTGTATATCGGAACATATGATACTTAATATATCGAAAAAATCATTTTTACATAAATTACTTTATGATCTTCTAGGTCTTTCTGCTGCAACTTTGGATAAAACTTATCAAGATCGGCGAAGAATGACTCAGTTCAGAAATAAGCCCAAACATGCATTGTATGGTGTTAGCCAAGGAGTTAATTCTTTGTTAACAGGTTTTGGAAGCGGCATTGAGGGCCTGGCAGTAAGTTAAATTCTTATTATATTTCATCCTTTACCTGTACAAAATATATTAATTTTTTATTTCAATTTAGCGTAAACCTTTAGAAGGTGCCGAGAGAGAAGGTGCAACTGGGTTGCTCAAAGGTGTAGGAAAAGGACTTGTTGGGTATGATTATTTATGTTCAAATTCAAGTATGGCTAAATTAGATATTAACGTCAATTTAATTTCAGTCTCGTAACTAAACCCGTTGTCGGGGTGTTTGATTTTGCAAGCAATGTGACGGAAGGTTTGTACCATTTTTTTTAGTAATGTTTAGGATATGTTAAAATGCTGTTAAGATTTCGTCACTAATTTTAACATGTATATAGGAATTCGAAATACTACCACTGTTTTTGATGAAAATGATATTGCACCGGCACGATTGCCTAGATATGTCGGGAGGGATGGTATACTTAAGGTATTCATTCATTTATACTTCTTTTTTATTTACGATTATCCCGCTAAATTAATTTATTTATAATTTTAATATAGCCCTATAAACAAAGAGAAGCTTTAGGACAATCTTGGTTGAAAGGGTTGGAGGATGGAAAATATTTTAAATCAGAATATATTGCTCACCTTGGTAAGTTCACGTTATTTAGAGTCACATCATTCGATGCTTATCTTAATCATGAATTTTATTTTCTAAATAGAGCTTAGAGGAGATGATCAAGTGGTAATGCTCACACGATCTCGCATTATGCTCGTAAAAAATAGAAAATTAAAAGTAGAGTGGGAAGTTCCATTTCCAGGTACGAATTATAAATATTAACCTTTTAAAGATACATAATGATTAAATTACAGAAGTCATTAACTTATTAATTTTAAATATTTTATGTTTAGATCTTCAAACCATTGCTTTACAACCCAACGGCATTTTACTTAACCTAAAAGGGAATACACCGGGGCCATTTATTCCTATTCCTGACATTGAGAGTAAAGAATGGTTTGAAAAGAAGATTGAATTAATAATAAACCAATACAATGCAGAATCGAAAGATTTTTGAGATGAATAATTTATTTCGAAATTAAATGAAAATAATAATTTATTATCATAGTATAATTTTTTTTCGCTTATTGATTCCTTCATTATATATATAAAAGTTTTGTTTGATGAAATGTACAGTTAGTGTTACTATTGTTTTAATCTATTTATTGCCTATTAAAGATTGGATCAAGTCATCATATTATGCAATCTATATTCACATCATGAGTAACGCGAGTTTAACGTGATTTATCTGGACTAAAAGTTTATAAAAATTCATGACCAAAATGAAGATTCATTCTCTAAAGAATCAACCGATGATAAAGTGATTTATCAAATTTTTATGGCTATTGAAAGAAATAACTAAAGGTGATTTAAAGGCAAGGCAAGAAGAAAACATTTCTTAACATGTTTTAAAGTACAGAAAGTACGATCAGAAATTTATCAATCCAAATGAAACAAGTTGATCGACTAAATCCAATTTAAATCAATTTGTGGATCGAATTAAGGCGTCGACCAAATGAATTTGTGAATACACACTCCCATTATTTTAATTAATGCCCTTGCTGTGAGTGATCTTTTCTAATTTGGAAATGTCATAGCGTGCCAATAGGTTGGTCCTATAACTAGGGCAGGCTTAGATATACTAAATAATATTGATCGGATGTTTGCCCTCGTTACACGAATAGATTAAGTTGTATGGTTGTATGTAACAATACAAATAAATATACAGAAACATTCCATTTTTTTATTTATATATTAATGAATTATCTTTTTTGTTTATCATCGGATTTTTGAAACGTAACGTAATTTTTACATATTTAATTAAACAATTAAAAAATTAGTTTACGCCAATTTTCGTATAAATCAAGGAAAAAGTGTCTCCTTAAAAAGATCCTTCCCAATTTATTTTCCGAGTCAGATTTTGTATATAAAACGACACTAAAGGAGCACTGTATTTATTTTATAACAATTTTTTTTGTACAGTATTAATAAGTCCCGTGACAATAAGACAAAAGAACGGAGGAACTTTATTTCTTTTCCTTATTATTTTACGTTATTCAACTATTTCTTAATGGAAGGTCATCCTCGTGACTCTTCAGCAAATGACAACGATATTGCAAGCATAACGAGGTCTACAACACAATCATCTGAACATTCAATACCCTTACCAAATACTTTAGTAACGAATAGTGGCTTAAGCTCCCACAACATGGATAATGACAATTTTAATGAACCAACTTCACCTGTATCCAGAGGACAATCAAGGGCAGTATTATCTTCAGTTTTTTCTTCTGGACCGACGACTTCCTTTGCTACGACGTCCGTAAGGGCAACTGCAGCAGGTTCAAGACAGGTCAGACGGAATTGGTTGGGATATATTGCTGATAGCTTTAGATCTATATCTAGAACTTCCAAGATGTTATTAATTCTAAATTTAATAATGGTACTTATTCAGGTATGTTGATTCTATTTATAATAAATAGCGAAATTTATAAAAATTTTGATTTCAACGTATCAAAACTTAACCAACCTATCTATATTCTATTAATTTTTTTTAAAAAGGTCGTTGTAACTATAGTAGTTCTTGTAATTTCACGTAAACAATCTTGTGATAAACAATATTTAAGGGTGTTTCTTATATTGTATATTGTTCGGGTAATAGTTGCATGTCCAGTCAATGTATATTTATATTTAAGTCCTAGAGATAATAGACGAAATGGTCAAAATGTAAATGAAAATGAGAATACAAGAAGGGATGGATGGGTTGATCGGTAAGTAATTATCACCATAATAATACGTTATTTTTGCTCCTTTTTTTTTAAAAAAGGAAAAAGAAGGAAAAATTAATTTAAACCTTTTTTTTTATAAAATGTGAAAATCTTAGACTAAAATCATTTCTCGATCTCTTTGCTACTTTATGGTTTATTTTTGGCAATTACCTACTTTTTACCTCTCAATTTTGTCAAAAAACTTCACCACCAATTTTTTACCTTTCTTTAACATGGGTTATCCTCGGATACATTATTATTACAATCCCAATATTATTATGTCTAGCTGTCATATTTTGCCTGCCTTGCGTATTGGTGGCAATGAGGGTGTTAAATGTTAGTGAAGCGGTTGGAATTAGTGGTGCAAGAGATGATGTTATTCAAAAGATACCTTTGGTGAAATATAAATCATCTGGGGAAAAACATGGACAACAATCAACTGATACCGTTATAACCATATCACCATCACAAATCCCACCTATGACACCACAACCACCATCAACACGTAAAAAACCTCGTTTTAAATTCCTTTTCAGCAGGAATGGCAAAGGATCATCAACAAATTCACCCCCAACAGTTTCACAATTTCTTACCATTCCAAATTCTGATGATGCAGTCTGTTCAATTTGTTTAGAATCTTATGAAGATGGTGAAGATTTAAGACATTTATGGTGTTCGCATCACTTTCATAAAAATTGTGTTGATGAATGGCTTAGATTAAATAAAAAATGCCCAATGTGTCGCGAGGATGTGGAAGAAATGGCAGAGCGGAATAATATTAATAAGAAAGGGAAAATAGTTAATAATAATAATGATGAGAAGGATATTATAGGTGAAGGTAGTAGCAGCAATGTTGCTCGGGTTGATCACCCTTCAAATTCATCTGAACCTGAACCTGAAGGTGAAGCATCAGTATCGACGTGAAAAAAAAAAATTAAGAATGAAAGAAATAAACATTTTATTTTCTTTTAATTTTTTAATTTTAATCAAAAGATCTTTTTAAAAAAAAAAAAATTCATGAATCATTTACAACCTTTTTTTAATTTCATCCTTCATTTGATTGTTTATAAAGTTCATATGCAGTAATTTATTTCTTCATGAATTCAAAATTTAAAAACTGAATATTAACTTTCGTTTTACCTTGCATGTAATTATTTTATCTGTAATTTATTTGATAAACCAAAAAAAAAAAAAAAATATTCCCCCCCAAAAAATGAATGAAAATGAAAAAAATTATGTGGCGAATAAATCACGAAACCACGGAATATGAAAATTCTTATCATGATTCAAATTCGTGTCTTTTTTTTTTTAACGCTTGCTTGCTTTATTTAGCGTTATCAAATCTGTCAGCAACAGTTTTCCAGTTGATTACTTCCCAAATTGCTTTCAAGTAATCTGGTCTGGCATTCTTATACTGCAAATAATATGCCTACAAGGATTTTTCAAAAAAAAAAAAATTATATATTTGTTTTAAAATCAAGAATATCAAGAAATGAATCTCGTATAACATACGTGTTCCCAAACGTCAATTCCAAGAAGAGGTACATGAGCTATTTGAACGTAAACAAGAATATTAATATATATTTTTATATATTATTTAAATGTGAATTATATTATTTCAGAATAAAGAATCATGATTCTACTTGTTAACGGATCTTGATTTGGGAGAGTCACAATTTCAAGACGTTTGGTTGACTTATTATAACCCTAAGAAAGGAAATGTATTTAGCACAGATTTTAAATTGATTTTTTTAATATATACTTACCAACCAACCCCATCCAGAACCTAAATGAGATAAAATGTCAAATTAATGGTTTTTTTTTATAGATCTAAAAATTAATATAAGGATGATGTGATGGTTCCAACCTTGAACAGCGGCCGTTTGAGTGTTAAATTTATTAATGAAGTCCTCAAGTGATCCAAATTCATCCTTAATCGCTTTCAAAAGATCACCTGTGGAAAAAGAAATTTGACATGTGAATTTAAGTAGAAAAACTTGTTGAGATAATGTATGTACCTTTTGGAGGTTCACCGCCATCTCCTTTCTTTGGAGCGAGATTTTTCCAAAACAGAGAATGATTGATATGTCCTAATTTAACAAATAAAATTATATTTAATCTTGAAAGATCTTATAATCAAAAAGATCAATCAATCTTGGCAATGGTCACCTCCTCCGTTAAATTTCAATGCAGCTTGTACCGCGATTTGTGCGGTAATATTCTTTTCTTTAAAGGAATCCTCAAGTTTTTCTTCAGCTTGGTTTAATCCATTAACGTAGGCTTGATGATGCTTAGCATGATGAATTTGCATTATATCCGCAGAAATAATGGGTTCAAGAGCCTATAAAATGCGAATGTTTAAATAATTTCCGTTAATTTTGAATATATTCCCAATTGCATTTCACTTAATGCATTAATAATTCGAAAAATATTTACATTGTAGTCATAAGGAAGATCCGGAAGCGTGTATTTTGACCTTTTAACAATAAGTCCAGAAGAGCTACTTCGAGCTAATGTCGAAGTACAGATATTTTGCAAAGCGCGTGTTGGGGTTGATAAGCGGAGCATTTCGTTTAAAAAAAAAAAAAAAAGATCTATGCGAAATGATAATTGAATCTTGGGAAAATCTGAAATCTTTGGTTCGCATAAAACTATATCGAGGATGTTACACCATTCCCACTTTTCAACTTTAGGTTAGACAGGTTCTAATATGATGTTAAAAAATCCATTTATGGAATAAATCGCGAATCACGATCAATTCTAATAATATCTAAAAATATTTTATTTTCGCTGATTTATTATAATATACGATGCAGATTGTGAAATTAAAATTATGAAATAATATGATTCATAATTTAAACAAAAAATTTTATTTTAACAATATCTTATATTATATGATAAATGAAATTTTTAACTCAAATCTCGGAAATCGACAAGTTGTTCGTTTTTGGTTTGTGCTAAAATATTAATTAGTGTCAGTACAATAAATATTAGAATTAAGATGAATTTAATTACGTACTTTCTGATATTACAACATAACCACCACCAACTTCACAGTCTTTCAATACAGTTTTTTCCATTATTTTGGCGCCGTTACAAACAACGCATCCATCCAATTTAACACTGTTAAATGAAAACAATCAATAAAATTAGGAATCGTATATAAGGTAAGATCATAATATAAACTTACAAATCTTCGACGATAATATTATCCATTAAAACAGAATTTGAAATCTTGACATTTTTGCCAATAATACAATGTGACCCAATAGTTGAACGTTTTATAGATGTACGTTCATCAATTTTAGTGTCATCACCAACAATTGAATCTGATCCAACCTTTTTAAATTTATCAATTAATTAATTAATTGTTAAGAAAAGTCTTAGAAAATGAATAATATCTTACTTGAGTCTTGGCATTCACTTCCGCTGACGGAGAAACGCGTGTCTCTGTGCTTATTTTCATCATCTTTAAAATATTTAATGCTTCAATGGGTTAGAAAAATTTATGAATGTAAGGACATTTAAAAAAAAGTTAACATACGTAACGATTCAAGTCACAATATTTCGCTACAGTATTTCCACGTCCGCAAAATCCAGTATTATATATGTAAACCTGACAGCGAACTGGCGAATCCTCATCCTCTTCATCCCACGTAGTAGAATATTCAAGAGAGGTTTTCTGATAATTTACTTGTGATTTGGCAACTAACATTTGATTTTTTTTAAATAAAAATTGTAATAAACAATTAATGAACAAAAAACATTGATGCATTAATATCAAAAACCCTTACGATTGTCTATTCCCTCCCTCTCTAATAATTTCTTTTGATATTGACATTTTACAAGTAATGGGACTAAATGTTCTCGAACACTAGAAATTGATTTTCTCTGTGCAATTAAATCAATTACCCATTTCTTAAAAATATAAAGATGAGAATCTTGTAGATTTGTATGTATATTAACGCGTGGAAACCTATGAATTAAATTCGTAAACTATCAGGTAATCATCCTTATTATAAGAATTATTATTTCAAAATACACGTACGCACTTCCATAACAGTGACATACGCAATGAAAATTCTTCATCCAAATCCGCTCCGGAAGCAACATATAAAAGACGTGATCGATTCATGTCAATACCGACAAATTGTTTCAAATCTTTTTGAAATTAACCGTCAAATCTCTATAAGAAATATAATTAAAGCATTAAATACAAGGAAAAACTTACCATCGTCCTTACAATTACTACCACTTCCTCCACCACCCTCTGACTTATTAGGTTCATAAAAAAGTGCTGTAAAAGCAGGTTCTTGAGTACGATGATAATCCAAAAATTGGTGAGGAGGTAAATCAAGGATCAAATCACAGCTTATTACGATGAAATCGTTCTAAATTTAAAAAGTATGAAATATAAATGCAATTGCAAATAATCTTTTAACTAAAAAAAAAATTAACATACCCTAATTTTATCCTTAATTGTTCTCAATGCATCCGCAGTTCCTACATCCTCTCTCACTATTTCTAAACTTGGTTTCAATTTTCCTTCATAATCATTCTTAATATAATGACCAATTTTATTTTCTCCACTTGATTCCGAGATGATTATTACATCTGTTATTTAAATTATTAATTGGGGGAAATATAAACAAAATCATGATAAATTTATTTAATTACCGGTAATTCCAGCCCTTTCCAACCAATCTAAAACATAGTGTAACATCGGTTTATTCGCTACTGGAAGCAAAGCTTTAGGCACATTATTATCTTCGGTAAGCGGATAAAGCCTATAAATTGTATTGATACAAGTTTCTCCATTTAAGAACAAATCAAGGTGAATAAAACAGTAAATCAAAATAAATAAATATATAATTATACTTGTTTCCGTAACCACATAGAACGATAGCTTGAAATTCAGAATATCGTTTTTGCTTGCTATGTTTCTTGTCTGACTCGAATAATAACATTATAAATAGTATATACTTTTTTTTATTGAAAATAATTTGACAAAAATAAATTCTTAATTTGATATTTGATAATCTTGCCATGGTACTAATTTGGTAATTTGGTATAACCTAATGACGCGAATGATTTTCATTTATTTGATACTAAGGTTCGTTTCTCTAAGCATGTTATCTGTCTGTTATACAATTGACAATGACATCGGGTACATTTTAAAAAATTGTAATTTGCATAAAATTAGGACAATTCCAATGAAAATTTCACAAATGCTAAACCAAAATTGTATGAATGCTGTTATATCATGATGCCTTTTTAATAATAAATTTTGTTCTAACTTTCTGGTCCTTCGCCACCAGGAATGAGCTTTTTAAAATGAAATAATAAATTTTAGAACAAAGGAAAGATAATTATAGAATAGATGGCTGACACTTACCATAGTTATGTTATTTCCGTTCAACAGGATCTTGTCAAGTTTTGTAGTCTTGCGGCCTTCCGGCGTATTTTCACTAGAATTCCAAAAATAAATAAACTAGAAATCTATTTATGTCAAATTTAAAAGGAGAATCAACTTACTATTCTGTAACATCCTCTAATACCATATCTGATTTTATCATTTGATGTAATGATTATAATTAATAATAAAAACATAAAAGAAACGCGATAATTCAAAAGGATACTGACGTAGTCGTCAAAACCCAACAAAGTTCCGGTAAATTCTCGTTCACTTTTCATAATAACCCAAATTTTAGAACCAATACATTTGTCAATTAGTTCTGTGATATTAAAATAAAATAAATAAAAAAGTTCAAATGCTATGTGCTCGGTTCCGTGAATATATATATATATCGCATACCAAGTGGAAGAAGCTGATTTGTAGCAGTCATTGCCATTGTATAAAAATTTAATAATTTTATCTTGTCCAAAATTGAACACGAAAATTATTATATCTTTTTTGATCATAGGTTAAAATGTGATGATTGTTACACAAAAAATAGATGAAATAAAAAACCGAAAAAAAATATTTTTTTTATAATTACAGAATTTTAAAAATGTTTTATGAACTACTTTGTATAGCTAGAGCTGGTTTGATGGAGGTAAATATAAATTACTCCATTAAAACGCCATTCCCAAATCTAATTTAATATATATTACTATATTATAATTCATAATTAATATAAAAAGGCAAACTTTAAAGACCTTGTTCGAAAGTCGGCTAAACATGTTCTTGAACGAGGTGGAGTTGTGAGAGGGTTTGAGAATTGGGGAGAAGTTTCATTACCAACAAGAACACGGAGACACCAAGAGTACCATGATCGTGGACAGTACGTTTAATTATTATATATTTGTTTCATTTTGAAATCTTTTTAAAAACTAATGTTTTATATTTTTTTTAAAATAAGCTTTTGGTTAATGCATTTTGACACCAATCCAGTTGTAATATCTGAATTAAGAAAAATATTTAATAATGATCCTCGTGTTATTCGAGGAAATATAATTAAACTTGGTGAAAAACTTGAAGATATAGTACACCGACCTGATAAGACTCATTAAATTTATTTTAACCATATGACCAGTTCATAAATTTTTCAAAGAACTTAGATATCAAAAAAAAAAAAAAAAATTATAATTCTTTATTGTTAAAAACGCGTTATCAATAAATTAAAATTTCCAACCTCAAAAAACTGTATTTTACAAATATACAGTCGACCTCCTCTATAATCATACCCATCAGGACCATTAAATGGTGTGACTATATGAAGGTGCTTATAGTAATAAATTATTATTATGTAAAACTGCGAAAATTGCGCAAATTTTAAATTGCGAAAATTTCAATTGCGAAAACTGCGTAAATTTTGAAATTGCTAAAAAATTAGATCATTTCTTTGAATTTGCATAAAAATTAGATATTTTGTCAACTTATTGAATGCTGACATGTTTGATACAATTTTATATAAGAAAAGTTTTATCACATTTTTGTTTCTTTAATTGTTCAATCTTATACATTGACAATTTTAAAATTTTTCCTTTCTCAACAAATAATAAATTTCAAAAATGCCTGTCACAATTGAATGGTCCAATGAAAAGATGCAATTTTTGGTTGATTTAAGGAGGAAAAGAAATAACAATTACTGGAAAAGGTTTGGAAGATCAAAGTTACCTTTTTGGAATGAAATTGTGATAATGATACAAGAAAGATTCATGACAGCATTTAATGGATTGCAGGCAAAATAAAAATTTAAAGGGATGGTTAGGGATTGTAAAGTAAGTAAAATACTAGTAAATGAAAGAATAATAATATTTATATTAATTGTATTTACAATAATATTTTAATAATTTTAATTATTTAGTTGTTTGAAAAGTATGCTAATGGGAATTCAAAAGGAAAGTGAACTCATATTAGAGAAATGTGTGATGAACAATTCAAAATCCCATTTTAGAAAAGACTAGTTAGTATAATAAAACTTTTCAATTGATATTAATTGAAAAAAATCATTATTAAAATTCAATATTTATGTTTTTTAGTATTACGTGTATAAGAAAAAAGGTTTGCAAGATTGGTCAAAAGAGCTCAAAGTAATAAATTTATTTATTTAATATTAATATTATATTATTATAATATAAATTTAAATTAGAATTATAAACTCCTCTTTCTAACAACTCCTTTCAATTACTAAATCAACTTACATTATCCAAAATTCAAAATAACCCTCAATAATCCATTTCTTACTTTTTTTTCCAACTATTGTCACTCTTTTTTCTAATTATCTTCATTCTTTTTTCTCATCTTCATAATTTTAACTAGTCTTTTTTTTCTTATTTCATTATCTTCACTTATCCTTTTTCACTCAGTTTTTTTATAAATTTTTTTTTTGAATTCTGTTAAAAAAAAACCTGAATGAAACTTAACTACCTTTACATAGTATTCAGAATTAACAGTTATAGGTTAATCTATATCTGGCTAAGAACAAGCATACTTTTGTAACTTTAATTCATTAGTTATTTATTATTTGTTTTATATTATTTCAAACTTATTATTATATATTGAATTTGGATATGATATTACTATATAATGAATAAATTGTTAAAATTTGATAAGATGTTACTGAATTTTCTTATTATAACAAATTGTGACCTTCAGAAATAAAGATTTATTATAGTAAAGTTTAATTGTATTTTATATATAATATTTGTATTTCTGTTATAAAATATCCCTATAATAAAATACCTTCAGTTTATAATATTCTACCATTAAATATATCCAGTATGTCACAAAGTACTATTTAATTTTAAAATTAAATAAATTGTAAAAGACTCAGAATACTTTAGGCAGTCTAGATATTATTTTGTTCACTATATCATAGAGACTTTTCTTTTAACAAACTCAATAAAAAAAAAATAGCATATAATTTGTTTTATAATACAAAATACCTATCTTTTATTGATGCATCTGTACATTTTTTACTTATAGATGCAACAAAAAAAATAATTGGAATTGGATTTATAACATGAGTTGACGCCGAAAAAAATTACTCTTCCAATTTCTTTTATGAATAACTACACATTTTTAGCATTACAATAAAAATAGATAGCTAAATGCATTTCAGAATATTTCATCAAGATAACTAAAATTCTATTTTAGTCATTATCTCTAATGTTTTGCAGTTTTTTCCTTTTTGAAAAAATTGTTCAATACATAATGACAACAAAAAGTTGTGATAATAAGCTACTGTCACGTTATTACTGGAAATAATTCTCTTATCATATGTATTTTGCTAAGTTACTTTACTATAGCAAGTAAGATTGATAAAAGTCCTAATTGATCCTAATTGGTCCTGATTAATTTTAAAAAAATTATTAGTTTTAAAGATTAAATTTTTTTAAATATTATCATTATATTCAATTTTTTAATTAAAGTTACTTATTAAAATAAGTTTAAATTTCTTTTTAAAATTTAAAATATCTTTAAAATTTATTTATTTTAAGTGACGAACTCAAAAGCAAATTAGAGTAGTAGTTCATAATCAAATCCTAGATGATATATTCATAGAAGGCAAAGTAATTGTTTTTCAAAGTTAATTCCTTTATTACTTGAAAATCACAAGTGTTTAAGAACTTACAAGTGAGTTATTTTATAACTTGAATAAAAGCTATTCTATTTATATAAAATTAATTTGCTATAGCTAACTAGTTGCTATACTATAAACTAACTAAAGTTGTAACTATAAGTGCTAATATAATAACGATAATAATAATAATAAAGATAATAATTATAATAGAAATAATAATAATAATAAAAATAATAAAAATAACAATAATAATTAAAATAATGGAAATAAGCGTTATAATAATTATCCAGCTTATAAGACTTATCAGGTGAATTCAGTGAATCAGGTAAATTCTCAAAATCTAGCAAATTAAGAGTTTTACAGATCATTTAGCATAGTACTCATTATATCTTTATTTTATAAGTTATTGATGATCAATGCAGTAAGGTCAATTTCTGACGATGATAACATATAATAATATCATAGATATGAAATAATTTTAAAAAGTTAATAGCAATTTTATTCTAAAAGACTTAGTTCATGTTCATCTTTATCTCTCTTCAATAAGAAAATCTGTCATAAATCAAAAATTTTCCTAAAACTTACCAATCTTTCTATAAATATTAATAGTTGATAACTGATTCTAATAGAATGTACAATAAATGTAATAGCTTTAATAATTCTTAAACAAAATCCAATCATAAAAACCTACAATATACAGTCTTTTATTTTAAATTTCAAGAAAATTTAGACATTACCAAAGATGGAAAAACATTCTTCTTAGATTGAAAATGATTGATTTAGACAAAACCAAATACTAAACTATACTTTATCTGCTCTGTTTTAGAACTAATTTAATAATTATTGCTATAGTCATAAAATCCTAAATAATCGATAAATACAAAACTTATACCAATATTTTAAGCTAGCATAATTCAGTAAATATAAAGTACTACAAG